ATTAATTAATTAATTGGTACCGTTGTATGTTTTTATACCTTTATTACCTTCCACTTTTACGGAGAAGCTGATTTTCTGTTTCTAAAACTAAACCGTTACAGAAACATTTCTTTCTATAAGTTTGTTATTTAAATAAGATCTTGCAGCTTTTTTATATTAGTTCAGGATGCTGAACATGTCATCAGTAGGAGACATATTCCACGTTAAACGTCGCTTTTTATTTCAATAATTCTGCTGGGTTTGTTCTCGGTCGATCGATTGTTTAGCCGATAAAACGTGAGAAAGAGAAAACGGTCGATCACAAATTTATTTATTTTATCGACTCACTGAGCTTTCTGTTTTTATTATTATCGAATCACTTTGTAAACTCTGTTTTTAAAGCTGCTATATAAATAAAGTTGTTATATTTATTATGAATAAAGCCGACCTACATGTATAAACCTCATCATGTTCTCTTTACATCACAAAAAGCAATAAATCCTCAAAATGTAGAAGCTGGATAAATATTATCGCTCTAACACAAACAGGACTGTTAACGTGCTCTTTTATCATGCTAACCGTGCTAAGCTACTTCCTGCTCAGATGTGTCAAATTAAAAGCCTTCCAGTAGCTTTAAAGGATGCCGCTCTGCTTCCACGTCCTCTCTCGGTGTACTTGTACACAGTGTAATTTATGGCGATTGTTTGTGTCTTTGTCACTTTCGTCACCACAAATGATGCGATACGTGTTGCAGTGTGTCGATCTGTGACTTTAATCTAGAAACAGAAAGCAGAAGGTTTGAATGTTTTATCGTTTATTCTCCTGGAGTTTAGTGTCGACACACTGACCTTTATTTTCAATAGTTCACTTCTGCAAACTCCAAAACCTGCTTTCAATCTTCTTCTTCTCTTTTAAAGACGGTAAACACTCGCCAACGTTCGACCCTTTCATTTATTTCTCTTCTGTGCTTTTATTTCCTTTTATTTAATAGTTCGTTTAAAAGTGTTTTTGCACTGTAGCTTTACCATAATCTATATTTTCTGATGTATTTATTCAGTGTGAATTGATTTTTTAATGTTGTTCTAATGCATTTACTCTAATGTAATTAGATGTGTTGGTACAGCCTCACCAAACACAGTGTCGTCCTGAAGACCAGCATCTTGTTACGCGTCTATTTCTGTTAATACCTGAAGCTGATCAGGTACAAGCTGCAGAGAGAGTCAACACGCTAACGAGTGACTTAGCTCATTACTGCTCCGTCCTCTAGTCTCTGTCCTCTAGTGTCTAGTCTCTGGTCTCTAGTGCCCTCTTTGTTGTGACCACAGTGAAGTGTATAAACCCTAAAGTGGTCTTGTTGTAGACCTCATCAGACCTCATAGCAGCATCATCTCTCTGTCTCCACACAGCCTGTAGCCACGGAGGCAATTACCATGGCAACAGGGCATCTCATCTATGCCAGCCCCCTTCTTCTTGAGAGAGAGAGAGAGAGAGAGAGAGAGAGAGAGAGAGAGAGAGAGAGAGAGAGAGATTCATCTAGTCTACAGAGTAACACTGATACTATGTGTTGGGAATAACAGCCTCAAAAAGGGGGCACCAATATGTTGGGAACGTAAAGGAGCGTGTTTGGGTTATCAGCATCTAAGAAACTAATTTCTTGACATCAATAGAATTATTAATGCCAGTAACAATTATTATTAATAATAACGGGGCACCACCCTGCGAACAGGGACCAATAACCAAACGATAAAACTAAGTCTCATAATTAGTGTTCACTCACAATGTCAACAGTCTGAGTACTATTACACATTCAGAGTGAAAGTGAAGGTTTAAGTTCGAGCACAGACCACATATACAGCTATTATCACAATACACATGCACAAAGTAATCACAGACATCTGCTCTTTAAAATATGACAGTTTATTACGTTCTAATACTAATGATCTAGTCAACTAATATCTAAAATAACAACTATACATTCATGAGCACGCTATCTAAAATCAACAGACGATCGAAAAGAGGGTGCGTCTCTACGTTCCGTTTAGCACGTAGCTACATTAGCTCAAAGCTGTGTGTGTGTGTGTGTGTGTGTGTGTGTGTGTAAAAGAGAAGGGAAAGGTACAAAATGAAATAAAACAAAAGATTAAGATCCTCTGCGCCGCGCTGGAGTACGGAAGATTGCTCTCTCAGCCAGGGGAGCAAGAACCGCGACTCTTTGTCTCAGCCGGCGGTTTCGACCTCCTGAACTGATGAGAAGCAACTTCGACCTCACTGCGGCTGTCTCGACACGAATCACGGTAGCATGGAATACACGCTAACTTCTACACAACACTAGCAATTTCAGGGATCGCCAGTGTCGGTGATCATTAAGCATACAGCACGTTATAAAAATGAACAGTACTTTAAGCACACGAACAAGATAAGATTAACTCTCTCTAACTCTGCCCAGACTCTATTTCGCCTTACGGTAC